GCTCCTGTGTCTCCATGCAGCCCTCAGGACGTAGGGAGGTAGGAGGAGAGCAGAGAGCCCTGCACGACCAGCACCCTCCTGCCCTGGGAGAGATCCGAGGGACTATCTGGCTGCAGTGGCACCCAAGGACCTTTCTGACACTCTCCCGCTGCAGAGGATGCTCTCCCTGGGTCACAAACAGCTCCAGGAGGACACAAAACCAACTGCCTTGAGCCCTGGCTGTCCCCAGCACCCGCATCCCCAGCTCGGTACAAGCCAGATGGTTGGGCGCATACAAACCCCCAAACCCTAAACCTCTGGGGACCGCTGTGCCTCAGCCAGACACCTTTTCTCTTGCATCCCAAGCCAGCAGCCAGCCTGGAGGTGCCAGGTGACCTGGCCTGGACCACCACCCAATGCCACACGCCCCCAGAGGCACCAGGCTGCAGCCTCAGCCCCCCTGGTGACACTCAAGGCAAAGCCAGCTCTCCAGGGACCCTATGGGTTTGCCCTGGGCACCCTGTAAGACAAGGAGGTGAGCTCGGTAGACGGCACCTACCGGAGAAGTTCCTGGTGGCCAGCATGGTGGTGAGGATGGCTCCCTGAAAGACACAGAAAGCAGAAGGAAAAGGCATGCTGGGCTCCAGCCCCCCGCACCCCTGCTGCTCCCCCCAGCCCTGGGAGAGGAAAGCCCTGCTCATCACCTGTCCCCTCTGCCACCTTGCTGGAAGGAAACCGGCCCACAGGCTGATATTCTCCTCCTGCATCAAAAGCAGCCCTCAGTACCCGAATCTGTATCCCCAGCTCCAGGGCGTTGGGTTGCATTCTCCAAAACTGCCTTCCCTCCAAGATTAAAGGGATATTAAATATCCCCGGGGTGCATTTTGGTCTCATTCCACCCTGCCCTAGAGGAGGTAGCACGACTCCACTGACCGGGGCCGGCAGCTGGTGGCAAGGGGAGCCACCGGGAACGGAACCGGATTTAATTGCAATTAAAGCCATGCCAGCTAAGAGCAGCGGGGCAGGCATTTTTCATGGGAGCCACGCAAAAGATCACCACCACAAAATAACATTCATAAAAATGCTTCCCCTTTTCCAGCTGACTCTACTAACTAGTTGCACAGCGTATAATGAGATTACTTTGGACTAATTGCTTACAGTAATGGATTACTATTTTGAAGTGTATGCCTGAACTAATTTGATTACTTGTCTAGCTGAAAAGTAATAATAGTTTATAGCCAGTTTCTTTTCTTGATAATCTTGTTAGTAGCCTGCAGCTGTACTGCTCTGTGCCACATCGTGTTCAGGCCTGGAGCGCTGATGGCTCTGGCTGCGGCACAGATCAGCGCCGTCCCATTCTGTGTCTCCAGCTCTGGAGGAGGCAATGGGATTTCCAGAGCCTGTTCCTAGTGCCCTGCTGCTGGCTGAGGCTTTACAGCACCCGGGAGATGGGTGCTTCAGGGAGATGCTCCAGCTCCACAGTGAAGCCTGGGGAGATGGTGATTTCAGAAGGGATCCAGGCTGCGGCACACGGCAGCATCCAAGAAGGGAAAGTCTGTGGGGCTGCTGGTGTGGGTGAGCCAGAGATTTTTGCCTGTGTATGGATCACTTTGTTCCTTGACTGCAAAGTGGCTTGGTCACCAGGCAAAGGGGTCTCACTGTGCCTCTCAGATCCATGTCCTGCCCCAAAGAGGAGCTTTCTTGACACTGACTCCAGTGGGAAAGTCCTTGCCCCGGTGTCCAGGGCAGCTGTGTAACTCAGTGCTTTCCTTCACCATGGCTTTCCTCTAAGCATTTGGGAACCCCAGCCAGATGCAACCACCACCCCACAGTCTCTTTTCTCTTCTTCACATTGGGGACCCCCAATGTCCATCACCCCCATCCCACTGACCCAGAGACACCACCCTGTCCTTTCCCACACAGGGAACAAACCCACCAATGACCTGATCATGCATTTTGCAGCCACCTTGAAGAGTATGAGAGTTACCTTCAGCTTCCTCCGGGCATTGAACTTCTTCAGACAGTCTACCGTCTCCTGCCTGTGCATACATGATGCCACGGTGGCACGGTGCTGGGAGGAGAGAGATCCGGCTTAGAGCAGGCACTGAGGGCAAAGGGGTTGCCCCAGCCCCGCTCTCACACGCACGCACACATGTGGTTTCCCGTGGCTGAGGCATGGACCAGAGCTGCCGGCAGCAGCAGCAGGAGATAAAACTTGAATAGGCAGCGGGAGGTGGCAGCTCTGGAGTCAGCAGGATCTGCTCTGGCAGTGGGGGGGTTGCAGGGAGAGCCCCCTGAGTTAACCCCTCCACTGGCCAGCCACCTTTAGCAGCGTGCTCAGGGTTTGAAGGTGGTGCAGTGTCCCAGGGTCAAGTCCACGGATTCCTCCTGCCTTTAGGAGCTGATTCAGAGTGAGAACCAGCAGCTGGAGCCGCGGGGTGCGGCGAGGGGATTGCTGCCGGGGTGTATGGATGGGTAAACACAAGTCTGCTCCCACCACCCCTGAGGAAAGGCCCCCCCCAGCACAGTGTGACACCAAGAAATCAGCCTGTCCCCACCAGGACTATGTCCCTCCCATCACCAGCTCCCCTAGGACATGCTGTTTGCATTCACATTCTGGGCTTTTCTCTGCTGTGAAGCCTCAGGGGAAAAGTGCTCTGAGAGCACAGGGAGGAACCATGCCAGGAAACCATCTTCCCAGGGTGGAGAACAGAGCCGGACAGCATGTTGATAACACGTGCTCCCCAGTGAGATGTTCCCCCCTTGTGAACCCCCACATCTCTAGACCTTCAACCCCAACCACTGAGTGCCACCAAACTCACCGATATCCAGGGGTGCTTCAGAGCCTCCGCTGCCGTGATGCGCTTGGATGGATTTATGGTCAACATCTTGTTGATGAGATCTTTTGCTTCAGGAGTGACCGTGTCCCACTCAGGGGAGGGGAACTGCCAAAGCAAAGGGACCAGGGTGAGAGATTACAGGGAGCAATAGAAGGAGCAGAAGCCCCTTTGTACTTGGGTTGGTTCTCCTGCAACCCTTTGTTCCTGCCCATGGGACAGGTTGGAGAGACTGTAGCAACTGGAAAGAGCTGCCAGCTGGAAAAGTGGAGAGCAGGGGTGGAGGGAGAAAGGTGGAAGGTCCAGGACAAGACCTATCTGTCCTGCAAAGTGGACCTGAAACATGCCAGTGTGGGCACCTGGGCATGGGAGCTTGGCCAACCTTCTGTAACCAGTGCAGAGGAAAGAAACTTGCTCCCGCCTATCTGAATTTGTCCTGGTTGCTCTTCTGGAGCAGCAGACTGCAAGGCAGGGACAGTAGGAGAGAGGGGACACTGTGAAAGGGGGGAGCAAGACAAACCCACTCACATCATAAGCCCCAGCCTTGATCTGCTGGTAGAGTCGGTGCTGGTCTTCATCCCAAAAGGGTGGGTACCCAACCAGCAGGATGTAGAGGATGACGCCTGCCCGGGAGAGGAGACATGGGATCAGTTGACAGAGGGTTCTTTGCTGGGGGTATGAGCAGACCCAACCTGGGGACTGGCCCAGTTCAAGCAGAGAAACTGAGAAATTAGGGAAATGGGAGGGGTTGCTCCCTGATTAAAAAGCAAAGGCTTGTTGGTGGGTCCAGCTCCACGCTGACGTGCTCAGCAGCTGGGGAGATACATGGCTCTGGCAGCCACCGTGCACAGCCTCAAGCCCGGTGCTCCGGCAGGGCTGGGCGATGCCTCCTCCCCATCGCAGGTGGAAGAAGGCTCTTCTACGACTGCAGCTGTGTGAAGGCATTGCCTGACTCCACTGGCATCGCAGGGCAAAAGAGCTGGCATCTCCCCTTCCTGGGGCTTTGGGTGCATAGCAAGGGGGCTGATCCTTCAGAGAAGGGTTCCACTGGACTGGGAAGGAGGGTGCTGCTCTGGGGACAGCCCAGGGTAACGTGTCACCTCTTGGGTAAATCCCCCACCCTGACCTCCCCAAGACACATCTAGCAACTGTGATTCAGGACATGCTGGATGAACAGCCTGCTTCATCCCACACAGCCCAGCCTGCTCCTGGCATTTCAGCCCCAGTCTGACTTACCACAAGCCCACAGGTCCACGGCTTTGCCATAGGGGTCCTTCCGGAGCACCTCAGGGGAGAGGTATCCCGGGGTGCCAGCGAAACCTGGGATAGACAGCCTGTCATGCACCGCCGGCAGGCAGCCCCCATCCCCACACAGCTCGCCAGCAGCGCCTGGTGCCTGGCCAAGCACCGCAAGAGCCCTGGCCCTGGCACACACCAACCTGGCGGGACAGGCATCCTCCCTCCAGAAACCTCTGTGACTCCTAAGAGCAGAGCAAATCATGGCTTTCTGCCAGTGGCAGCAGCCAAATCCCTCTGACGAGCACCTCCAGCACTTAGAAGAGGATTTGCTCCCCCAGGGTCTTCCCCTGTTGCCACTTGTCCAGCTCACCAGGACATCTCCGTGACTCACGGAGCCCCTGTGGAGCTCTTTGCCTGTGCTCTGGATCAATATTGGGCTGTTTCCAGGGGCAGAGCTGGAGCCAGCAACCTCCTCATCAGCTGTGCCTCCTAGGCTGGTGCTGCAGGGATGCTCCCATAACCCGGGGTTCAGGTCTCCAGGGGTGTATGTCCCTCCCAGAGCCCTCCCGACCAAACACGCCAACGAGGGCTGGAGGATGCCCCACCTGGGGCCAGTCCTACTCACCAAACCACGCTTGCTGGTCCCCCTCTACCTCGATGGCAAGGCCGAAGTCAGCCAGTTTGACAGCAGCACCCTTCAGCTTGGATGCCAGCAGCAGGTTCTCAGGCTGCAGGAGGAGATGGGGGTTGGAGAGGAGTGAAAGCCCTCCCCGGGGGCTCTGCTCTTGTGGGGTGGGGGCTTCCCGGCACAGCACAGAGGAAGGTCAGGGCTCTGGATATGCTCCCCAACTGCTTTGTCCTGCTGTGCACCCCGGTGTCCCCAGATCCTTAGAGGACCATGGACTACAAGGACCTCCCTACCCCCTCTCCCCTGTGTTGTTTCACCCCGGAGCTGGTCTTTGCTCTGTGGCTTTCCAGAAGCTCTACATGGTGTTCGTCCCCACTGTTTTAGCTGCCCTGCAGGACACCGGACATTGCTCCACGGGGTTTTGCATCACAGATGGGCTCCCCACCTCCTCCCACAGGCAATTCCCCTGCAGCTCCTACCTTCAGATCCCGGTGGACCACCCCCATCTGATGGCAGTGCAGGACGGCCTCCAGGATCTGCTGGATGCAGTGGCTGTGGGAGAGGGGAGAAAGCTCACAGAAGTGGCCGGTGAGGTGGAGTTTCCTTCGACTCTTCTACCTGGCCATATTTCACCCCCCTGCCCCTCTCCCCATCACGCTTCCCACCAGTAGCCCTGCAGCAGAGCTCAACATCCCCCTCCACCAAAAGCCACGCACCCATGGAGAGCAGCTGTAACCCAGTAAGACCCCACCAGACCTGCTGGACACACAGTCATGGTGAGCAGGAGCATGGGGGCTACAGCTGAGCCCATGGGGTGCCCCCAGAAGCAACATGGGGGCGAAGCTGGAGACCAGCAGTGGAGTCAGACCACCAACTCAGATTTGGTCTCCAAACCCCGGTAGAAAAGATGTGCTCCTCAGACATAGAGCTAACCCTCGCTTTGGCCCCATTGCCCTGGCCTCCTCTAACACGGGTGGCTCTTGCTGCGTCTGTTTGCTTTATATCTAGTTCATTAAACCCCAGCTCTGCTGCATGCATGAGAAAGGAAGGGGAAAAGACTGAGGCGATGATCGCTTCTGCTCCACAACAGCTGTGTGCAAAGCAGAAGGTCTTTATTTACATGTATTTTGTTTTATTTTTATGACATTAATAAGTGGATGGGTTGTAAGTGGATTCAGTGCAGGCAACCCATTAAATGAGATTGCTTTCTGCCTAGAAATTAAGGGATATTTCCATGCAGACAGAGGTAGCGTAGAGCTTACCACCCCCTTGGACATTTGTACAGGCTATGCTTACCCTGAGGGCAAAGCCAAGAGGCACAGTGATATCTGGAGATTGGAGAGGGCCAAATCATGCCCCCTCAAAACCCATGAGGCTAATGCTGTCCCCTGGCCAAGCTGCAAGGACCAAAGCGGTGCCTGAAACGGTACCCAGGCCCCTGCCTCTGCAGTGGGGTACCTGGAAAGTGCCAGCCGGAGCGTAGGAGGGAGCAGAGCTCCAGCACATCCTCCCACCCAGCCTGTCTTGACTGCTCCTCCTTAGTGCTTTCAAGTAGTAAATGCCAGAGAAAGGCTTGCAAATAACGGTAATGCAGCTGCAAGGGGAAAGGGTGAGGACTGCAGGGTGTCTGCGCCATCACGCTCCTGGCTGAGGCATCAGCCTGATGCTGGGCTTTCTCCCTGCCAGCCTGGGGACCCCCTCTCTCCCCCTGCCTGGGGAGTCTGGATACGCCCAGCCCAGGGAACCCCGATGCCTTGCTCCTTTCCAGGGAGGGCAGATGTGGGCTGTGCCATCAGCCCGGGGAAGGAGGATGCTGTGAGCGATGGCTGGCAGCTGCCTGGTTGAGGAGGGGGGATCCAGCCCTGCAGTAACACACACACTTCTTGGCACAAGAACTGAGTGAGAGTGAGTTAAAAAGAGCTTTTTTGGTTTTTTTACACTACACATCTGGTTTATGAGTACACACTGCGGAGTGGCTGTAAAACACCTCCCAGCATGGAAGGAGCTTGTGCTGGAGAAAGCGAGATGTGTAGGAGCCTGAGAGGGAGCAGCTCATGGGAGAAGGGGACAACTGCTGTCCCCTCCATGGCCCGGTATGTGTCCATGCTCACCTGGCATCCGCTTCGCTGTAGTACTCCCTGGCCACAATGTCCTCAAACAGCTCCCCACCGGTGACCCTGTGACAAAAAGGGGGGAGTCACGCTCGGCCATCTCAGCGTAGCACGGAAGGGAGCTGGAATGATTTACAGCACACTCAGCCCTAGCAAACCCCCCCAAAATGCTGCTGCACTGTGCACGGGGGGATGCTCACCTGGCATCCGCTTCGCTGTAGTACTCCCTGGCCACAATGTCCTCAAACAGCTCCCCACCGGTGACCCTGTGACAAAAAGGGGGGAGTCACGCTCGGCCATCTCAGCGTAGCACGGAAGGGAGCTGGAATGATTTACAGCACACTCAGCCCTAGCAAACCCCCCCAAAATGCTGCTGCACTGTGCACGGGGGGAGCATTGGGGATGCAGGGCAGGAATCTGCCCTCTGTCTGGCGTGGGGGGCCCAAGGTT